AGCGCACCTCCGTTCTCCCCAATCAGCACCGCTCTAGCCAACTGCTTAAACACCCACCATTTAAAAAAAAAAAACCCAGAAAGCGGGAGAAAGACAGAGTGGGATTATGGCGTCTACTGGGGGATGTAATCTGGCAGATGGCAACCAATAGAACAACAGTAATTCCTATTGGAATAATGCCCAAAACAAAAAGGAATTTTGTAGTGGTTTAATGGAAATAATAATTTCTGTGATGGTTTCTATTGTTTTTTTCAGCAGGGTAATGATACCCATACTGTGCTGCACATTATTGGCAATATTGAGCTGAAGCTTGACTTTGCAAATTTAAAATCGCAAATCAAATCACAATCGCAATATCTGTAAAAAAAAATCGCAATTTGATATTTTCCCCCAAATCGCACAGCCCTACTGCCCATTTCATTGGGCTAAAGACTGTCCACACAAGAAAACCGAACAAGCAAGAATAACTGAAGATGCAAATATTGAGGAATGTGACATTACATTGTTTACAAAGGCCTCCATGTCAGATGCAGAGATATTCATGACTGAATCATTAGGATCAGCGATTATTGACACTGCATGTACCCGTACTGTGTGTGGGGAGAAATGGCTGGAAAACTATATTGATGACCTCACTCAAGATCAAGTGAACCAGCTGATGCAAACAGAAACTCGCAGTTGCAGACCATTTCGATTCGGAGATGGGAATTTGGTATATTATACAAGAAATGTGAAATTACCAGCTAAAATAGGACTGACAAAATGCCTAATTGAAACAGAAGTTGTCAAGGTTGACATTCCACTCCTGCTGAGTAAAACGTCACTGAAGAAAGCAGGGACCATTTTGGACATGGAAAAGGACAGTGCAGTGATGTTCAAACAATCTATTCCTCTTGAATTGACTAGTTCTGGACATTACTGTGTCGATTTCAGAGACAAAGACACTAAAAAAGATCAAACTGAAGAGGAAGTTCTAACAGTGACAGAAAATAAGTCTCCAGATGAGAAACGCAAAGTCCTTCTGAAGCTCCATAAACCGTTTGGTCACGCGTCGGCAGACAGGCTACAGAGGCTCATTCACAGTAGATGGAGCTGTTATATTTGAAAGACATGGGGGGACTCTTGTTAGAGTACATCAATCCAGGCTCTGTAAAACAAACACACAGGATCAGGAATCTCAAGATAAGCAAAATGAACAGGACAACAGCCAGGTACCAAGTGAAAAAGGCAGCTTAAACAATGCAGCAGATAGTGAAGAAAACACAGACAGCGAACAAGAAAACATCAGCGACAGGGAGGTTAATACAGGAGAAGTGGTTTATCCTAGAATGACACAACCTGAAACCGATCACGATGTGTGTGGTAATCCTGTCTCTTCTGCTGATGGAAGATTAAAAACAGGACAGACTGTAACATTTATGAAACAGGACTGTGGTGGTCTACAGAGAGCCAAGGTTTTATGCAGAGCAGGCAAAGCCTCTGGAAAATATAAAAACTGGTTCAATCTGCAACATATTGAAAATGATGGCAGTGATGGGCAAAAAGAGTCAGTGGATATGTCATGTGTTGATAATCTTCACATTGAATCAACTGATAGAGAGGCTGATGTACTCATAACAAAAGATATTTCATTTGATGCAGCTAAACAGGATGAAATGGTGAATTGGTACAAAAACAATGTTTTTGAGGAAGTTGATGATGCAGGTCAAAAGTGTGTCTCTACCAGATGGGTCTGTAGTCTCAAAGAAACTCCGAATGGTATTGTGCCCAAAGCGCGACTCGTAGCCAGAGGTTTTGAAGAGCTTAATATTCACGAGCTGCAGAAAGATTCTTCAACCTGTGCTTCTGACTCTCTTAGGCTGTTATTAGCTGTAATCTGTCAAAATAAGTGGCAACTGGCAAGTCCATTCTATGGACATCAAATCTGCTTTCTTGCAGGGCATGCAGTTGTCCAGAGAAATCTATGTCCGGCCCCCTCCTGAAGCAGGAAAAGAAAATGTTCTATGGAAACTAAACAAGTGTGTTTACGGCCTTGCAGATGCATCATTGTATTGGTACAACAAAGTGAAAGAAATCATGCTGAGTACAGGTGGTAAAATGTCTAAAGTAGATCCAGCAGTATTCTATTGGTTGGATGAACAGTGTAAGGTTACTGGAGTACTCGCATGTCATGTTGATGATTTTCTTTGGGCAGGCTCACAAAACTTCTCAACAGATGTGATACCTACACTAAAGTCTG